CGAAATTTTTGCGTGAAGAACTCGACAAATCAATTCGTAGAGTAACAACGAGCGAACTTTGACTGTGGTTACCATAAGCGACACGTGCAATTATTTATTCATTCGACCTCCAATTATGAACGTGTACGACTTCTGGTAATCCTACGACTCTTCCCTATGATCGTTTCCTTAATTAAATGGAGATTTTGTAGGAAATTTCATGTAAATCTACACAGAACGTTCCGAAAAATGGATCCTCGCGTTACGTTCATCGTCTGCAAACTATGCAGAATGTTCGTGCGTTCTTCATACTGTCACGCATCCGACTAGAAAGAAATAAATATTTATTTCACGAGCAATCATTTTAATGAGTACTTTATCGTACGCATTCCGTGTGCATCTCCGCACCCTTCAATTTTCCAAAAAATGCAACAAACATCCGCCCGTGGTCTGTTTAATTTATCGTTTTCCAAGCGAGTAAACAATGCAAAACAATATCGTGACTTATGTAAATGCGAATTCCTTCGCTACTTGACACGTTGATGAATATCTCCTCGTTACAGTATATAGCCCTCGGAGAACTAGATTGCAGAAAAGACATACATCCGCGTCTCCTTGCATGAATCTGCAGAAATCGAATCGAATAGAAACATCTACAACGACATTGCGACATGTGTTCCGTGTGTAAATATATTAGCGAACCGGTTCAGCAAAATTTTCCTACGGGCGCGGTGGCCATTTGGGAAATCCAAGCGGGGCGAGACACTTTCGAATCTCGTTCTTTTTAGAAACTCGTGCGCAAGCATGTTAATTAACCGGTAGGAAGAAGAAAGAAAAATCTTGTACTGCGAAACAGTAGTCGGCCATTTGCGAAACTGTACAAGCGCTCTCAGATCTCGTTCTCGTTCTTCGGGCGCATTTCGTAAAAAAAAAAAAAAAAAAAAAAAAAAAATCGATGGAATTTGCGCTGGACAAAAGTCGACCGTGGCGATGAAAATAAACGTAGTCGTAGTCAGGGTCAGCTCTGGTTCGAACTTAACCCTTTGCGGTCGTATGTCTACTCTACTCAGCCACCACAGCAAGGAACCCATTCTAATCTTATACTCTATTCATCCATGTGTCAATTTACACTTTCTCTGAAGGAACCTGAATGTCTAAAGAACCTATTCACGAACCAATACGGTGCTCCTATCAATTGGAGGTAACGAAACCCAGTCTAAACAAAAGCTGTCACCCCTCACTCGCCATGCAAGACGCCGTGAGCGTAAAGAAATCGACAAGATTCAAAGATACTTTGTAGAATTCCAAATAATATTTTACAAATTGTGTTTAACTGTAGTTAGGATGCATTCTCGCTTCTTAAGATATTTCAAAATAATACTCCGAAATGGCAAAAAGAAAGTTACCGAAAGAAGTGTACTGTGAAACTGAAAATAGCGATGAAGAGTTTTATTTGGACTCCTTGAATATTGACTCTGATATAGAAAGTGATAACGTTTGTAGTGATTCCAGTGAAGCGACGAGTGAGGCAATTATATACCAATATATACCAGCTGTGATTAAAAAACCAGCTGTAACAAAAAATAATACTGTTGCTGCCTATCGATCAGGTGATATTCTATTATTAGCGTGGAAATATAAGAGAATAGTCACCATACTAAGCAGATGCGATACTTCGGGCACGAAAACTATAGAAAAAAGGGTGAAAGAAGATGGCACCGTCTTATTAATTAGCAAACCAAATGTTATTATAAATTACAATATGAATATGGCAGGGGTCGATAAGGCTGACCAATTAGCAAGTTCATATTGTTTTATGAGAAAATCTTGCAAATGGTGGAGAAAATTTTTTTCTGAGGATTAGAGGTTTGTGCAATCAATAGCTACATTTTATATAAGGTGTCAGTTGGAACAGAGAACAGGACGCCTATGTCACATTATATGTTTGTCCGAAAATTGGTGGAACAACTTGTAGATGATTTTCGTGATGGA